CGGACCACCTCGCGCACGGCATCTCAGAGCTCAGAGTTTGGAGGATATCTCAGGCGAGACGGGCCGGACCACCTCTTGCGCGGCAGCTCAGAGCTCAGAGTTTGGAGGATGTCTCAGGCGAAACGGGCCGGACCACCTCTCATGCGGCATCTGGGAGCTCAGAGTTGCGAGGATGTCTCAGGCGAAACTGGCCGGACCACCTATTGCGCGGCATTTGGGAACTCAGAGTTTGGAGGATGTCTCACGCGAAACGCCCAATCCCGGACAACTCGGACGTCTCTGTTTTGAATTCCTTCGGCCAGAGTTAGCTTCTATCACACCAGCACCCCGTTCAGCAAGCTGTTTGGGGAAAAATCTATTTGCGGAGGCAGGCGTGACCCGTCCCCATCCCAGAAGGGAAGGGCAACAGGAAAACGGGAAACTAGGGCAACGCGACAGAGAAAAAGACGGATGCGAGAGATGTGAGGCGAACGAGGGCCAGGCCGTAATTTGGTTTTGAGCACGGCCCGGGGCAGGGGGGAGGGGGGCGAGGACGAGGTGGGGGTGGACGTTGGTTCGAAACTCTAGAAATGATAGCTCTGCTCGAAAGTCATACAACGATTCAATTTAGATTCGGCAGGGGTGCTTCACATAACCTTGTTGTAAAACTCACGGGGCCCTTCTATGGCGCGCGCCGAGGCCCGAGAACAGGCGCCGCGAGGGCGAGGCAGCGGATTGGTCAGAATCAACGCCGTTGGTTTTGACCGCTGATGGAACTTTATCCATAGTATCCCGGCGAACTTCACGCGAACTTATTTTGAATTCGGGGCAAGACCATCAGTCTCAACCCTTTGCCACACGATCCACGTTACAAAACTAGTGTGCCAGGCGACTCCAGGGGCGGTAGCCCCTGGAGTCGCCGGCTGGCGAGGGTGAACACAGTGAGCGTAGCAGACGTGAATTGACAGGGAGGCTCCCTCTTCCTCCTGTTCCTCGTGCCCATGTTTTGAATTGGACTTCGCCGAAGCGCTTGCGTGTAAAACGACTGCGTCCCGCCACGGTGACCCCTTCGGCACTCGGTCCCGCCAGCAGCCCTGAGGAGGAGGTTGAGGAGGAGGAGGAGGAGAAGGAGGAGGGAGAGGAGGGAGAGGAGGAGGAGGTGGAGGAGGTGGAGGACGGCGGAGGAAGAATAGGTTGAGGAAATGTGTTGCAGTCGATGTGGTACAAAGCCATGTCAGGCAATGCGCAACAATGCAAAGCATTGCAAAGCAAGGCAGTGCAACGCAACGCAATTCGAAGCCATGCCAAGCAAATACATACAACTCAAGCAATGCAACGCGATGCAAAGCAATGCAACGCAATGCCAGGCATTGCGGAGCAATTCCAAGCAATGCGAAGCAATGCAAGGCAGACCAAAACAGAAAAAAACAATGCAAAGCAATGCAAGGCAATGCAAAGCAACCCAAAGCAACACAAATCGGTTCAATTCAATGTCAACCAATGCAAAAAGCAATGCAACGCAACGCCAAGCAATGCAACGCAATGCAAAGCAATGCACATCAATACAAAGCAATGCGCAGCAGCTCAAATCAATTCAACGCATTGCAATGCAAAGCACTGCAACGCAATGTAATTCAATGCAAAGCACTGTAGCCCAATGCAACGCAATTCAACTCAATGCAATTCAACGGACATCAATGCACACCAAAGCAATTCAACACAAATGCATTGCACTGCAAAGCAGTGCAATCCAATGCGCAACAATGCAAACCACTGCAAAGCAATCCAAAGCATGGCGAAACAATGGATAGCAATGCAAAGCAACCCGGTGCAATGCAAAGCAATGCAAAGCAATCCAAAGCAATGCGCACCAATGCAAAGCAATGTAAATCAATGCCAAGCAATGCAAAGCAACGGAGCGAATCGTGACGACGAGCCGTCCAGTCAGGCACTGTGGCCCAGCGGCGACGAGCTGGCCAGACCGCCACCGGGGCTCAGTTACCTTAGAAGACAAGCAAGAGCCCCCAAGTGCACCATGGTTTGGGGAAATATCAGAAACGCGTGCGGTAGGTTCGCGTCGCGTTGACACGGCAGCGACCCCGGCGACGGCGTCCGGGGTTGAAAGCAGCCATTGGCCAAGAGTCGGCCGATGTCGAACGGCTTGCGCTGTCGGCAAGCGACTGTCGTTACAGGTTGAGCGGCCCGCGCGGTGTCGGCAGCCAACGCCGACGTCGGCACGACAGGGGCCAGCCGGTAACATCTACTTTGGGCAGCGTTCGCGCGGATGTTCGGGCGGGTGGTGATGGGAGGTGGCCGCCCGAGATTTCCAGGTCCGCCTTAGGCTCAGAGTCGGCCGATATATCGAACGATCTGCGTTGTCGGAGAGCCGCAGTCTGTTTTTCCCAACCATCCTGTGGTGATGGGTCCTCGTTTTGAAGAAACGGTCCCCGCGTTCTCTCCTCCTCCTCTGCCCCCTCCTCCTCTCCACCGTCCGCATGCGTCCCGCACACCCAGTACAGCGTTTCGTGGCCCCATAGGGAGCTTCACCGAAGGTGCCAGTGCTACTGTCCGCATGCGTCCCGCACACCCAGTACAGCGTCTCGTGGCCCTCCTCCCCTTCCTCCCTGCGTTTCACCCACCCGGTACAGCGCTTCGTTGCGCCATAGGGAGCCCCACCGAAGGTACCAGTTCTACCGTCCGCATGCGTCCCGCACACCCAGTACAGCGCTTCGTGGCCCCATAAGGAGCTCCACTGAAGGTCCCAGCGCTACCGTCCGAATGCGTCCCGCACACCCAGTACAGCGTTTCGTGGCCCTCCTCCCCCTCCTCCCTGCGTTTCACCCACCCAGTACTGCGCTTCGTGGCCCCATAGGGAGCCCCACCGAAGGTCCCAGTGCTACCGTCCGCATGCGTCCCGCACACCCAGTACAGCGTTCCGTGGCCCCACAGGGAGCCCCACCGAAAGTCCCAGCGTTACCGTCCGCATGCGTCCCGCACACCCAGTACAACGTTTCGTGGCCCCATAGGGAGCCACACCGAAGGTCCCAGTGCTACCGTCCGCATGCGTCCCGCACACCCAGTACAGCGTTTCGTGGCCCCATAGGGAGCTCCACCGAAGGTCCCAGTGCTACCGCCCGCATGCGTCCCGCACACCCAGTACAGCGTTTCGTGGCCCTCCTCCCCCTCCTCCCTGCGTTTCACCCACCCAGTAGAGCGTTTCGTGGCCCCATAGGGGGCTCCACCGAAGGTCCCAGTGCTACCGTCCGCATGCGTCCCGCACGCCAAGTAATGCGTTTCGTGGCCCCATAAGGGGGCTCCACCGAAGGTCCCAGTGCTACCGTCCGCATGCGTCCCACACACCGAATACAGCGTTTCGTGGCCCTCCTCCCCCTCCCTGCATTTCACCCATCGAGTACAGCGTTTCGTGGCCCCATAGGGAGCCCCACCGAAGGTCCCAGTGCTACCGTCCGCATGCGTCCCGCACGCCCAGTAAAGCGTTTCGTGGCCCCATCGGGAGCTCCACCGAAGGTCCCGGTGCTACCGTCCGCATGCGTCCCGCACACCCAGTACAGCGTCTCGTGGCCCCATAGGGAGCTCCACCGAAGGCCCCCGTCCGCATGCGTCCCGGAAGCCCAATTTGGCATTTTCGCCCACCCAGTGCAGCGCTTCGTGGCCCCATAGGGCGCTCCACCCAAGGCCCCAGTGCCACCGTCCGCATGCGTCCGGGAAATGTAATTTGGCATTTTCACCCGCGCAGTGCAGCGTTTCGTGGCCCCATAGGGCGCTCCACCGAAGCCCCCAGTGGGACCGTCCGCATGCGTCCCGGAAACCCAATTTGGCATTTTCGTTCACTCAGTAGAGCGATTCGTGGCCTCATAGGGAGCTCCACCGAAGCCTTCAGTGGGACCGTCCGCATGCGTCCCGGAAACCCAATGCGGCACATTACCCACATAGTTCAGCGTTCCCCCCCGCCCAGTGCAGCGCTTCGTGGCACCATAGGGAGCTTCACCGAAGCAGATATTCACAATTACGGTACCCGCAACTGCATATGGTTGGGACCTTCGCTAGCATAATTAGGCCGAGCGACCCGCCTTTGCATCGGGAGCCTGTGCGCAGGTCGTCACAGCACGAGCCTGCCAGAGCTGGTTCGATGGCACCGCCTTAGCTGACCTCTCAAAATTGATGCTCCCCATAGGGCTCTGAAGCAATATCGAGCAGTGTTCATTTTCCCTCTTGCGTTTTCTCGCGTTTACCGGTGGTTTCTGCGAGAGTCCATTGGGTCCCGCAGAATTTGCGTTTTGCGATTCGATGGCCCACTGGTCTACGGTATGAATTCTAGAGTCTCGGACCTCGAACCTCTGCTCGTGAGTTTAACCTGCCTTCTCGACCACGGTGGCGACTAATTTCGTCGCTAGTTCGTTGCAGTCGCTCACATTCGTGGCCTGTCTGTCCACCGTTTTTCCTTTCAGCTTTCCGCCTTGGATTCCAAGCACAGTTCTAGAGCAATGCTCGTGTACGAGAACGAGCCTCAATAGCTACTGTACTGTATGTGCTCATGCTTTGAGCCTGAAGCTGCTCACGTGTTTCATGTTACCCTTAGGTTAGACTGACTTGGTGGTCTTAATATCTTTGGAATTGCGGGCTGTAAAGCAACTTAATGAAAGCAAGCGGTCAGTTGCTCATTTAACCATGGGGCTCTACACCACGCGCTCGACTCACAGAAGGATGCAGTCATTACCAGCCACATGTGCGGCCGTCAAGAACGCTTGCTTCTCCGCGTGCGTGCATGTCAGTAGCCCCTTGGCTCAGGGCCCCGCCACATCTTAACTTGCGGGCCTGGCTTCAGGCGCGGGCTGGGCGGCGCTGGTCCCTGCGCTCGAAGGGTCCGCCCCGGAGCCCGCAATTGCCACCAGGCAGCACACGCGCTACCCCTTTGGGAGCGCTGGTGCGCACGGTGGCTGGGGTCCGTGAGTGCGTGCTTAGGCGCCAGCCAGGGCCAGTGTCAGCCGTGAGGTGGCGATATGGCCGGGACCTATGGCGTCTCCACGCGTTCGGCGTCGCAGACGCGATTGCCAGGCGGCCGTGGCGTGTCCAACTCCACCATGGGCATGGGCGAGCGCACCACAAGCCTGCCTGCCCTCGGCACGAGGGCAGGTGCTGGTAGGGGGTACCCCTCCACGAGCGAGGCGAAGGGAATGAAGAGGACCCCGACCCCTAGCGAGCTCCTCTCGCAGAGGCGAGACCTGGCCTTGGTCGGGGCCAGCCAGCCCAAAATTACAGGTTTCATGGACATCGGTAAGTATTCCAATCACACGGAGTCTGCGGTTCCCTATGATAGGCCGTTGTTCAGCGTGATGCCACCAGTCATCGCCTTTCAAGATTTCGAGGGTCTCCAGACATACGAGGCGACCGTGACCTTGCGGAACCAGGACAAGGTGGCGCGCAGGGTGAAGGTCTTCGAGCCCGACAGCTCGTTCTTCGAGCTGCGGCCAGGCAGGAATGCCGCCCATAGCAGGCGGTCGTCTTCGGGCGGCTCGGGTGACAAGGTGGCACCTGGCATGGAGGTGTCCTATGTGGTGCGGTTCAAGCCCGACGCCAAGATCGATTATTCCTACGACCTTGTGGTGGTCACGGAGCGGGAGAAGTTCGCGGTGCCAATCCGTGCATCCGGGGGCTCTGCTTTGCTCACGTTCCCCGACGAGATCGACTTCGGGGACGAGTGTGTAGTTGGCCACCGCAGCGAGCGGACCGTGCTGGTCCGGAACGTCGGCGACCGCACCACGAAGTTCTCGCTGCGGACCCACCCGCCGTTCAGCGTGACCGTCCCGGACGGCTACCTCGCGGAGGGTGCCGCCTGCCAGGTCTCTGTCTACTTCACCCCTGACGCGGTGGAGCCTTGCGTGGCGGAGATGCAGCTGCGCTACGAGCAGCTCGAGGCGACCGTGCGGCTGCGTGGCGGCGCCTCGAACGCCAACATCTCGCTGTCGACGGACAATCTGGTCATCGAGCACACGTACGTTGGTCTGGAGGCGCAAGACACCGTGATCATCCGGAACGAGTCGGATGTGCCAGTGGACTTTAGGTGGCACTTGTTGCCCTCCCAGCTGGAGGAGCACGAGCACAGGAGGGCGCTGCAACGCCATCTCAAGGCCGAGGAGGGCGACGAGATGCTCTACTCTTAGCTGCCCTGATACGCCTGTGTTTAAGCCCAACACGTTCCGTGTTCGAAACGTCCATGTTAACACGTTGTGTCTTAGCTTAAAGTGTTGGCCCACGCTTTGGCGAACGTGTCTCGCTAAACGTCCGTCCGTGTTGAGCTCCGTGTCAACACTCTACGTGTTGCGTGTTGAGTGTCGGGGCAGCTAAGGCTATACTTGTGCCAGCAGCACGACGAGGACTCGTCCGAGGATAGCCAGTCTGAGGAGGACGGCGAGCGGGCGAAGGCGCGCAAGAAGAACAAGGTCACCACATCGTTATCCCGAAAATACAGCAGTATCAACAAGGCCAGGGCTCATGCGACTCGATTCAATTCAATTTCGATCGATTCCGATTCAGATTCGATTCGGCTTTGGATTCAAGTTTGGGCTTCGGTATCTCTATGGAGATCTTACTCGCCTTCCGATTTCACCGATTCGACTTTTCCCGACTTGGCTGCCGATTTCTGGCCGATCCGATATAATGCCGATTGCCGATCCGATATCATGTCGATTCGAGTCTGGGCTCTCCTGACAAGGCGGTGAAGGAGGACCCCATGCTTTTCAGGGATGCCATCTTCGCCATCGAGCCGCTCATTGGGCAGATTTGGCCGCACTCGCAGGTGACCTGCGCGTGCACGTTCCTGCCAAAGGACGCCCTGATGTACACCTGCACTGCGTACCTGGCATGCGTGGGCCAGGAGTCTCGGGCCCGTCTGATGCTGAAGGGTCTTGGCATAGGCCGAGGGAGAAAACACTGCACGAACATAAACTTCTGATGGTCCGCGCGGATTTCATTGATCGGGCCTGGACCCCCCCTCCCTGGCGCGCGTTGCGCGCCAGGGGCGGCGACCAGAGCGGCATCAGGGGGCGTCAGCGCCGATCCAAGGAATCCGCCCAGAGTTCCGAAAGTTGATGTTTATGCTGTTTTTTGTTCTGTTGCTGATAGGGCCAAAGGCCACCTTCTCTTACGACGAGCTTGATGTGGGCAGCGTCTTTGTGGATTCGACCCACCGCTACGAGGTGCAGCTGCTGAACCAGGGCGACATAGACGTGGACTTCCGGCTGGTTCCCGGGGACACGCAGATTGGCAGGCAGTTCAATTTCACGCCCAGCTCCGGTACCATCGCGGTCGGTGGGCACTGCGAGGTGGTCGTGGACTTCAAGCCCAAGGAACTCGGGGAGTTCGTCGAGACCTTCGAGTGGGCGCTGAAGGGCAGCAACGCCCCCGTGACCCTGTGCTTCCGGGGGGTCTCGGTGCAGCCCTCTTTCGAGTTCGACGTGGAGAGGCTCGTGTTTGGAACGGTGAGTTATGGCTTTTTGAACTCGCGCATGATGGCGTTGACCAACACCTCGGAGGTGCCCTGCATCTACACGCTGCGCATTCCCGAGGACGAGAGAAGCGAGTTCGACATCATCCCCTCGAATGGCACCCTCCTGCCAGGCTGCAGCCAGCGGGTCCAGGTGGACTTCGTGAGCAGCACAGAGAAGAAGTACGACCTGCGGCTCGTTGTTGACCTCGAGGGTGTCGGTAATGAGCTGCTCTCCATTCCGATCACGGCGGCTTGTGCCGTGCCGTCCGTGACGTTCGAGCCTCAGGCTGGGTTGAGCTATGGAGACATCTTCATCAGGTACCCCTTTCACCAGAGCCTGTACCTGCACAACACCTCCGCGCTGCCAGCCAAGTTCAGAGTGCTGCAGCAGGAGGACAAGTCGCGCGCAGAGTTCGAGCCAGACCAGTGGACAGGCACCGTACCGCCGTGCGCCTCGCACGTCATCACCGTGACGCTGACGGCCCACTCGCCCGGGCCGCTGAGGATTTCCATGTACGTGAAGTTGCATGGCAAGGACGTGCCGTTCCCCCTTACGCTTACCGCCAACTCCGTGGGCCCCCGCGTGGTGGTCGATCCCCCTGCGGTGGACTGGGGCAGCGTGAAGTGCCTGGAGCCTGTCACCAGGCACGTGCGCGTCACCAACGATTCGTGCATCGACGCGACAGTGCGCGCGTTCATGAACGAGCGGAGGTCTCTCTGGAGCGTGCACCCCAAGATGATGCACCTGTCCCCGCAGGAGACCCTCCAGCTGGCCGTCACCCTGAAGATCGACGAAACTTGCCCCGTGAAGGACATTTTGAACCTGATCGTCTCCGAAGGCAACGACCTCACCGTGGAGATGAGAGGAAAAGGAACCGAGACGCCGATCCAGAGCGAGCAACCTCTGGATCTGATCGACTTTGGCACGATCTTCACCACCCACCAGGAGCCCCGAGACATCGTGATCAGGAACTACGGGCAGGTGGCGCGGCGGCTGACCTGGATCAAGGAGAAGGAAAAGAAGAAGGAGTCAGAACCAGAACCCAACAAGAAAGTCAAGGTGCAGGAGAAGATCCAGGCCTTCAAAGTGGAGCCCGAGAGTGTCATGTTGGAACCAAAGACCGCGTACAGATTCACCTTCATCGCCATGAGCCCAAAGCCTGGGAGCATGGAGGATTTCCTCTGCTGCAACGAGCAAGTGGACAAGGGCGGCAATCCGGCGAAGCAGATCTTCCGGCCGCGCCTGCGGGCAACGTTTGTGGCGCCGCAGCTGAAGCTGTCGACGACCGAGATCAAGTTTAACTTTGTCGCTGGCCCCGACTCGAAGGTGGACATGATGTCCCAGACGCTAACCCTGGAGAACACGAGCCCTCTGCAGGTGAAGTGCACGCTGGACGCCCCGTACCCTTTCAGCGCGAGCGTGGGCGAGGCCACGATCGCGCCAGGCACCGAGCTGGAGGTGCTCGTCACGTTTTATCCGGCCCACAGGGTCAGTCGTGAGAGCGGCACGGTCACGAAACCCTTGATCATCAGGTACGAGGATCACCCGGCCACGAACAACATCCAGCTCATCGGAAACATGATGTTCCCCAACCTGGAATTGGACAGTAGGGCGTGCGAGTTTGGTACGGTCTTGAACGAGACGAGTAAGAAGATCAACGTGAAGCTAACCAACCCGACGAGCCTGCAGGTTTGCTATCACTGGTGCTTCTCCGTCCAGGGCGAGGATGAAGAGGAGGATGCCAACAAGCAAGTACCCACTGGGCACATGCAGGCGTCGAATCTCTCCTTTCGGCCACTAACAGGCAATACCACTACGACGATGCTCGGAAACACAGGCCAGATCCTCGGCTCGGTTGAGACGCGCCGCTTGGAGGACGGCAGTCGATCGCCCAGTGCTGCTCCGAGCCCCACCAGTATGATGAGGACGACGCACTCCGTGATGCAGTCGGCACCGCAAGACAAAGACGATGTGGACCTGAACCAGGTCTGGGCCAGGGAGTTCGACCCTCGCGCCATGCTTTCATCCTCCTCTCCCTACCTCTCTTCTCCTCTTGTCCGATCATGGGGGAAGGAGTAGTATTACGACGCATACGGCGATTCACCACCACCCCCTGCCTTTTAGAAACGCCCACGCGGCCAATCGTTGTGCCGAAGTCTGGCCAAGCTATTGGACTATGTGTTTCCCTGGCCGTTGTGGAGCCCTTTGGGGGAGTACTGGGGAGAGGAAGAGAAATGAGGAGGAGAGGGAGGAGACGGAGGAGGAGGAAGAGGAGGAGGAGGAGGAGGAAGAGGAGGCCTCTTGGGGCCCTCTTGAGGCCTCCTGGGGGCTTCCTGGGAGCCGTTTTGGGAGCTCTACAGGGCCTCTTGGGGGCCTCCTGATGCCTCTTGGGGTTCTCCTGGGGCTCTTGGGGATTGGGGACCTCTTAGGGGCCTCTTGGGCCCTCTATGGGACCTCTCGGCCTTCGGAGGCCGCCTTGGGGCCCGCTTTAGGGCCGTCTTGGAGCTCTATGGGGCTGCCTTGGTGACCTCTTGGGGGCCTCCTGAGCCGTGCCTCTTGGGCCGTCTTGGAGCGATCTTGGGGGCCTAGGCCTGTCTTGGAGCGAAAGGCTAGAATGTTGAAATTATTCCAACACCTACGGCGAATCAGCGATTTGGGCCTCCTGTCCTCTTGGAGGCCTCTTTGGGCGTTTGAGGGGCCTCATGGGCCGTCTGGAGGACATCTTGGGCCGTCTCGGGGCCACCCTGGCCATCTTGGAGGCGTCTTGGGATCGTTTTGGAGGCCGCCCTGGCCGACCTGGATGCATCTTGTGACCAATATTGGGCTCTCTTGGGGCCATCGTGGCCGTCTTGGAGGCATCTTGGAGGCCATGGAGGCGAGTTTTCCGGTTCTTCCGCGGCATTCCTTGTAGCCGGCGGGCTAGGCCGAATGCCCATGGGACATTTTAGCAAGAACCAGAATCGACCGAGATTTTTGCACGCCGTGCACTCCTGTGGCAAGCACAGGGGGCGGCGGATCGAAGACGCCTACGACTGCCTCCTGGGGGCCTCTTGGAGGCCTTTGTAGGCTCCTTGAGAGGTTCTTCGGCCGTGAGGGCATACCTGGCCCGTCTGACGCCGTCGAAAGCCATCTTGCGGGCCTGTCTGGGCCGACTTGGGGCCCGCTGGAGGCCCTTCAGGGCCGTCTTGGAGGCATCTTGGGCGTCTTGGAGGTCTCCTGGGCCGTCTTAGGGCCCTCTTGGGTTCGTCTTGGGGGCTTCTTGGGCCGCCAGCGGGGCATCTCGGAGGCCTCTTGGGCGCTCTTGGGGCCATCTTGGGCCGTCTGCTGAACGCCGAAAATGAGCAGGCGCCAGAATCTGTCAAACAGCTAAGAAGCATTAACGATTTGGGCATCTTCGGGCCTTCCTGGAGTACCTCTTGGAGGATTCTGGCCGTCTTGAGCCATAGTGAAGCCATACTGCGGCCGTCGTGACTGTATCTTGGGCCTGGAGGCATCTTGCGGCTTTCTTGGGCCGTGTTTGGGCCATTTTGGCGGCATTGGAGGCCATCCTGAGCGTCTTGGGGGCTTCTCGGGCCTTCTTGAGCCATATTGAAGCCATATTGAGGCCGTATTGGTTGCATCTTGGGCCGTCTTGGAGTCATCTTGCGGCTTTCTTTGGCTGTCTTGGGGCCATCTTGGCCGTCTTGGAGGCCATCTTGAGCGTCTTGGGAGCTTCTTGGGCCGTCTGTGGGCCCGGGCCATCTTGGCGGGATTGGAGATCATCCTGAGCGTCTTGGAGGCTTCTTGGGCCGTCTTGAGCCAGGTTTGAAGCCATTTTGAGGCCGTATTGGCTACATCTTGAGCAAACCTCAACGTATGTCAATTACCATTTTGGGCATTCCTGGAGGACCTCTTCGAGGCCTTCGGGCCTTCCTGGAGCTTCGAGGCTTCTTGGGCCTTCTTGGGCCATCTGGCGGGCTGCATCTTGGCCGTCTTGGAGACATTGTGCTGCCATCTTGGGATATCTTGGGGCCATCTTGGCCGTCTTGGAGGCTGTCTTGGGAGCAATCTGGGGCCGTTTTGGGGCACTCTTGGGGAGGCCTGAGGGGCCTTTTGGGTCATCATGGGGCCATTTTGGAGGCCTCTTGGGCGCTTTGGGGGCTGTGCTGGAGGCCTCTTGGGTCGTCCTGGACCGTCGGAAGACCGAACAAACATCACATGCCAACATCATTCAAACACCTAAGGCACAGCAGTGATTGTAGTGGCCTCCGGCCAGTGCCGCCGATCCGGGGTGCTACCGATTCTGCTCGTAACGCATGGCCTTTTATGTTCAAAAGTAGAGCAATCGCTCGAGACATCCTCATAAGGTAATGATGTTGAACTCGCTTGGGCAACCTTCGGATATTCGGAAGTGACAAACTCGCGTGAACAGCCAAACTCATGGGATGCTGACGTAGCTGATGCATGACACCTTTTTGGAGGCGCTCCTGGGCTTCTCGGGGGCTTTTTGGAGGAATCCTGGAGGCTTCTTGGGGGCGCGCTGAAGGAAGTTGTTGAATCTCTTGGGGGCCTTTGGGGGGCCTCCTTGGGGCTTCTTGGTCCGTCTTGGGCTCTTCTTGGGCCGTCTTGGAGCCCACTTCGGGCGTGACTGGCGTCAGCCATGGCGTCGGCCCTCCCTCTCCCCCTCGCCTCTCTCGAGCCTGAAGGGCGTCAGCCCCCCCCCCCCCACCCGCCGACAGAGTGAAGCTTGAGCGAGCTCCCCCCCCACCTCCCTCCTCCCGGGCCTGACCGGCGTCAGCCATGGCGTCCCCCCACCCCCCCCGACTCTCTTCCCGGGCTTGAATCTCCCTCCCACACTCCTCCGTAGCCATTTTGGCTCAAGCCATTTTGGCTCAAGCCATTTTGGCTCAAGCCATTTTGGCTCAAGCTCGGGCTTGGGCTGGGGCTCGGCCTCGTGCTCGTGCCTCCTTTCTCCGCTAGACCCGAGAGCGGGGGCCTTGCCTGTGCGAACTTCAAAACAGCACGCTGCACAGGCGAGCCAGATTCAGTTGCCAGCATCCCCGCCTTCCTGTCGTCAGGATGGCCCCAGCCACGCCGCCATGGCAGCGCCGCGCCAACGAGCGCAATGACGCATGGTATGCAGGCTGGAGATACACGGGGAACGGCAAGGGCAACAAAGGCTATGGAAAAGGAGCTGGCGGCCACACTCAGTTCTTCCAAGACACTTCTGCCGAAGGTGGAGGCAAAGGAGGCAAAGGAGGCCAGGGCAACCAGCAGCAGACCTTCTGGAAGTGCGGACACTGTCAATGTGGAAAGAACTTGGAGAGCTACTGGTTCTGCAAGCACTGCAAGGCGCCGAGGCCCGAGCCCAGTGATCCCGAGCTCGACCGTTTGGGAGCTTGGGCGAACGGGCCGCCAGCCCTGCAGCCAGGACCCCAGCCGATCCCGACTGGGGAGGCGCTCAGCGAGGAGGAGCTCGAGCGCATGGTGTCCTTGGCCAATCGCTTTGGTGATGTGGCCGCAGCCAGCCAGTACAGGGTCGCGCTGGAGCGGCTCCGTGCGGCGACAAAGTGCCCGAGGAGAAGCCGCTCCAGCAGAGGGCCACCGCAGCCCATCAGCGAGTTCAGTTCCTCGAGAAGAAGCTCAACGGCGAAATCGACAAGTTGGAGAAGTGGAGAGCCTGGTGTAACGAGAAGGCCGCAGTTGTCCAACAGCTCTCGAGCGAGCTCGAGGAGGCCGACGCGCAGCACAAAGCTTTGGTGGACCAATTACACAGCTCAGTGTGCGATAAGAAGGTGGTTACTCCTCAGCCTACTGGGCTTGTTAAGCTTCGCGATATCGTGGACGGCAAGTTGGACTGTCTCGAGTTCGTGGACGCTGGGGAGATCTTCAGCGTGCCTGAGGACGAGTACGTGGTCACAGAAGGCGACAAGCAGATTCTGCGCGACAGAACGAACGAGTTCAAGGCACACATCGCCAGGGTCACTAAGGAAGCCTTCGGCGGTATCATCAGCCAGTTGGACACTATCAAGCAGCAGCACGCGCAGCACATGGAAAGGTTGGGGAAGAAACGACGTAAAGCAGCAGAAGGAGAGGATCAAGCTGCAGGTGGAGGAGACGCAGCACAGGGAGCAGCAGCGGCGGCAGCTCCAGGGACAGGAGCTCCAGCTTCTGGATCTTCGTGTACGATCACAGCCGGGGCTGCTGGAGGTGGCGAGAACGTCAGGGAGCGAGCTCGACGTGCAGCGTCCCAGGCACCTCCCCCTGCACCAGAGCAGGCTGCAGCGGCATCCGCATGAGCGCGCAGGGGGACAGCAACCTGATGGGCCAGCTGTTGGGCCTGACCATCAGCATCTTCTACCTCATCTGATAGCCCCCCCAGAGGGGCACCTTTTTGCGAGTGCAGCTGCGCCTCCTGCGGAGAGTCGGCGCGTGCCAGAACCTGCAGAGGCGCACCAGCTTTTTAAATCGGCTGTGCCGTTTTCCGCCCCCCGAGCCAGGCCCCGAGCCCCTGGGTGAGTTTCTGCGTCTAGGCAGCCCTGGACTGGAAAGTTTTGAGTTGGTTGTGGAGACGGCCAACGTCACCTCCTGGGGATCGGCTAAACCCTGGCTGCAACGTTCGGGAGCACATATTATCTTGCTGCAAGAGCACAAGTTGGTCCTCGACGACCAAATTGAAGAGGCCTCCAGCTGGGCCCTCAAGCAAGGCTGGAAGTCTCGGTTCGTGGCGGCTGAGGCTGGAGTAGGCTCAGGAGCTTCGGGCGGGGTGGCGATCTTCGTCCGTTCGTTTCTGGGATGCTACGACCTGGAGGCTGGCCACAAAATATACAAAGCAAGAGCTGTCGGTTGTTGGGTGCAGATTCCTGGGGGTGAATCGATACTTTGCACCTCGACCTAATTGCGCGATTCCGAGGGGCTCTCCGCTGAGAACCTCAAGATTTTGGCCACGATCGGAGCGGTGGCACAGAGCTACCGCACGCCTCACATCATCGGAGGCGACTTCAACA